ACTTTTTCTTATTTTTCAACCATACATTTCCCATCAATTTACTATTCAAAAATTCATTTTCACATAAAAATTCTTACCAAACACCCTCTAGATGTTTTTGCTGGTAATTTATTTATTTTATTGTGCAATAATTTATGTTCAAGGTAATCTTTTTGCAGCGATTAAATAGTTGGACAGTATTTCGATTTACAAAATGAATGGAATGAACAAAATAAACTAGAATGATAATGGTCGAGGTAAGAGTTTGACTTTTTCTTCTTAAGACTTTTACACTCGTCTCCTACGATACAAGGACCTCGACTTATAATAGTAGCATTTCAAATTACAAGATCCGACGAACCTACTAATATTTTGATCTCTCTAAAACTGAAGGACTAAAATACACGAAAACAATATATATGACTGAAATGCAAAATATGGAATAATGCAGAAGGAATGAATAGAATTTGCAAGAGAGAAAAATCCGAATTGATTTAGAATGAATTAAATCCAACATATGGGACCTATTTATAGAGTTGAAAGTCGTGTCTTGAATGGCCTGTGACAAACAATTTAATCGTTAACCGCTAGTTTCTAAAAGATGTCACGTCTCGTGCACAGAAAAATTTTAAAAAAAAATTCTATTTATTATATTCCATTTATTTTTCTCTCTCTCTTATTATTTATCTCTATTTTCTATGAAAAAATTAAATTAGATTCTTATAACTTTTTTTTGTCTTTTTTCATTCATTTTTTGTGAAAATATTATTTTTTATTAAATTATAAAATTTTATATGAAAAAACTATATATGTGCATAGTTTTGATTATTAATTATTTAATTAAGGTCTTAATTTTTATTTTTTTCAAATTTTTTTTTAAAATTTTAAAAAAAAATTCTATTTATTATATTCCATTTATTTTTCTCTCTCTCTTATTATTTATCTCTATTTTCTATGAAAAAATTAAATTAGATTCTTATAACTTTTTTTTGTCTTTTTTCATTCATTTTTTGTGAAAATATTATTTTTTATTAAATTATAAAATTTTATATGAAAAAACTATATATGTGCATAGTTTTGATTATTAATTATTTAATTAAGGTCTTAATTTTTATTTTTTTCAAATTTTTTTTTTATTATATGCGAAAAAGAAGGGGAAGGAAAAAGGGAATTATGTGAATTTTCACTTCGTATATTAGAATTTCATACTAGATTCATGTGAATTCTATTTTAAATAAAAGTCTTCAAAAGTCTTTTGAATTCCACAAAAATCTATAAAAATTTTAAAATGAAAATTCATAGAAATTTACGAAAGATTTCCACTAATTCCATACAAATTTTTAAAAGATCCACGAAATCCATAAAAGTCATCACTTAAAAAAAGGCCATCAAAATCTGCAAAAGTTTCAATTGAATACACTCCCTAATTGTGTATGGAATGGTTTCGAATGTATTTGCTATATTTGGAGAATATTTGGTTGATGTTTCGGAGAGGAGTTGCTATCTTCGAAGAAAATTCGATTGATTTGGCTACTGTCCAAACTCTCTTAGTATTGTCATAGTGTCTACAAAATTTGTCAATTTTATTCATTAACAAGATGATGTTGAAATATGAGCAATGTTCTTTTGATGGTATTGTATTGGATTGATTTCGTATTGATCAGAATGGTTAAACATGTCAAGTGAGCTCGACTTGACAAGATAGATTTATTTCTTTTCTGTCTAATTCTATTGTAATTTAGTGACTCTTATAAAGTGGATTTATTTCTTACCTACTAATAATCATTACTATATAAAAATGGCAATGTTTCACTACTGTAAATAGAACAGTAGATTCTTCCATTTTTTTTCTTCATTGACTCTCAGTACAATAATTTAATTTCATTTAATCAATTTAATTTTTTTAATATTCTTAAAATAATGGAGGTTTATTCTTTCTCCATTTTTACACGCTACAACCATGCTTCTTTATTTCTTCACACTATCTCCTTCACCATTTTCTCACGCTATCAATCATGTATCTTTAAAAGTTTATTTTTGAGCATATAAGTAAGTTCAAATAAAAATATTATTTTTATATATGTGCGTAAAAGGTATATAGTAACCATTTGGATGACCAAAAAATAATATCAATCAAAATGTTTACGAATCGTTTAAATAATAATTTATTGAGGGGGTTAATTCAAGAGCAAAAGTATGAATTTCATAAATATATGATTGAAAATATGCTTGAAGAAATTCCATAAATATATAATTAAAAATATGTTTGAAGAAAAATAAATTTTAAAAAATGAATACCAAACATGTTAACAAATGAATATATTTATTTTTCGAGAAATAAGTTTTTATTATCATTTCATTTTTATTATGAAATAATTATAATCTTAATATGTTAGATTATGCTTCAAAATTACATAATTTATCAAATATAATTTTCAAAATTAATTTTTATAAAGTAATATGTTTTTATAATTTTTGTTTTTTATTTTTTGGAAGGTAAAATATAATAGTACTAAAAAATAAAAAATAATTAAATTTTTATTAATTTTATAATATAATATGTTATCATCCATAATTATGGAGACTCAAGCATCGTGCTTGAGCCTCCATAACAATCATGGAGGCTAGAGTATAAGCCTCCATTATTATTTTACTAAAAAAAAAAAAAATTCATAAAAGCATATTGCTTTATAAAAATTAATTTTAAAAATTATATTTGATAGATTATGTAATTTTGAAACACAATCTAACATATTAAGATTAGAATCATTTCATGATAAAAATGAAATGATAATAAAAACTCATTTCTCAAAAAATAAATATATTCATTTGTTAATAAATAAAAACATTATTTTTATATATGTACGTAAAAAGTATATAGTAACCATTTAGATAACTAAAAAATAATATCAATCAAAATGTTTACGAACCGTTTAAATAATAATTAATTGAGGGAGTTAATTCAAGAGCAAAAGTTTGAATTTCATAAATATATGTAAAAAAAAAATTCGCTTAAAGTTATTTAAAAGTAAACAAAAAAATTATTATTGTAAAAATTACTTGTAACTTAACAATATATTAACTTCAAAATTTGGAGTAAATATTTAAATATATTTAATTTTTAAAATTAAATATTAATTTATATGTTAAATAGATGATCTATAAATAAAATATCATTTAAATAAAAATATATATATCAAAGGAATCTCTCCATATTTATTATGGAGACAATATCATAGAGGATTTTCCTCCTTAATATGGAGGCTTGTTATGAGAGATCAAGTCTCTTGTTATGGAAAGATCAAGCCTCCGTATTACGGAGAATTGAAACTTCCAAGCATGGAGACTAATATTTTTCTTTGAATTTGTTTATTAGTAATATTTTTATTTGTTGATATTTTTTGCTATCACTATTTTATTTACAATAATCACTTTTATGTAAGAAATTATTAACAAATAAAAATACAAACAAAAAATATTTATAAAATGTAAGAAGTTTACTTATAAGTAAAAAATCTACAATTTTGACGCTAATGAAAATACAATAAATACAAAACTCGTGCAACGCACGTGTCAAAGACTAGTATATTTATAAAGATGGTTTGTTTCAAAATATAATATTATAAGAAAAACAAAAATATAATGTTATATTATAAAGGGTTAGATTAAGAATTATAAATGATATTTAATTATTTTGTTTTCTTTATGTCGAGAAACTTGTTGGAAGTAAGATAGTTGTATATACTATTTGTTCTACTAACCATAACAATTATGCCTACTTTTGAACCTTTAAACCTCAAATTCAATGAATTTTAATCAAATTTTTATACTTTTGTTACCCAAAATTATTAAAATGTTGACTTAAATATATCAATCAGACCATATTTGCTTTCCTATAGTAGGAATTCTTGAATTTGCTGTAACAATAATTTGAAACGATACAAGTTCTAAAAGAGAGATGCAAGTCAAAATTAATATGGTAAAATGTCATTGCCAAGAACTTAACTGCAAGAATCATTTATTGACTTTTGTTGTATTGATAGATCGAATGTAAATATCAAAAGAATTAATGCACTCCCTCCGTCTCAATTATATATATTTATTTTATTTTTCACACGGATTAAAAATTTTTCTTTAATGTCATTGGTAAATTAATTCTTACTAAGATTTTTCCTAATTTACCCCTATTTAATTTTCGTAGTAAATTATTGTTGGAATTAGTAACGAATTTGAATGATTTAATTTGAAGAAGAAGAAATAAGAGTTGTTCCATGTTTTCAAAAAGTGAGAAATATGTGTATTTGGATGATTTCAAGAAGTTATATTAAGTTGAGAAAATTGAATAATGGTATATTGTTAAAGGAACAAAACAAAATATTTTAAATTATGAAACAAGTTTATATATTTGCGACAGGAAAAAAAAGAAATCCAGCCTATATAATTGGGACGGGGGAGTAATAAATTTTAGATTTAGCAAAAATACAACTTATAAATTGTTAATGTGCCTTTTATATAAAACAGAATTGAACTCATTCGTGAATTCAATTCAACTTACTTTCAAAAATTAATTTCAGATTTAAAAAAAATATAACTTAAAATTCTAATGTGCCTATTTTATAACATATAAATCTGAACTCATTCGTGGGTGTAATTCAACTCAATTTCAAAATAAGTTGTTCAATTATCCAAAGTTAACTAATTGTTTTTGTCCTAAGAAGACTTTAATTTCGAAATAGTATCTAAAATTTCATTGACTTACACGTAAACATTTTATTGTTGTAATTTAAATTCAGTTAGTAATTTTCTTATACATCTAGCTCCCGTTTGGTCGAATTTTTTCAACTCCAAAACATTGATTTTCTGATCGTTATTTTATTATTTCAGTCGTCATATTTGACTTCTTCACTCACGAGTGACACGACTTTTCTTCTTTAACGGTAAAAAAATTAATTCTCACAATTACTAATAAAATTTTAAAGGTTAAATCAGTCATTTTACATAATACGGGATCCCACAAACTATGCGACAACGGGGTGGCATTAGAAACTTCCCGTCTAATAATTCCGCAAGAGGGTCATTTGCTTCAATAATTTGAACATTGTTCCATCGAACAACGAGCGCATCCACCTCTCCGGCGATCTTTTCGAGGTACATTTCCCGGATCTTGGATCAGCAGCTATAATTTTAATTTTTTTCGATCCTTAATTGATTGAATAAGTGTTAAAATTAGCTTATTTCTAGAAACTTGTATTGAGATAGGTGGATAATAATTTTGGCGAATGTAATTATGATGGATTGTAGGTGATTTGTAAGATTTTTGATTGCATAAAATGAGTCAAGTATTTGAAGGTTACGAACGCCAGTACTGTGAGCTGTCTGCTAATTTATCAAAGAAGATCACGTCAACTACTCTTCTTGATGGAGGTGAGAAAATTTTTTCTCGGTTACATTTACTTTTTGATTTGTGATCCTTATTTTTATAGAATAATAGCATGTTGTCCTGGAGTTTATTACCCGCTTGTATTTATTAAGGAGGCAATCACGAAACATTTTGTATATTGAGAATCATGAGAGGTGTAAGAGGACTTCATGTCGAGCTTCCCACAATGTAGCAAAAAAAATATTATTGATAATGAGAAATAATAATTTTGAATGCACCTTGATCTATTTGTGCATGTGAGCTTTTTCTTACTCTTTGTGTTTTATGTTTTCGCATTGAAAGAAAAGGATTTTTTTCTATAAAGTTACACAACAATTATTGATGTAAATATGTCCATGATGTGTAGTGTGAATGTACAAGGATAAAGGATTTCCGGGGAATTTTGATTAGTCATGTACGTTGTTCAAACAAAATGTTTCTCAAAATGGATTTTGATATGGTCTTGGCAATAATCAGAAGTGCACATGGGGTAGTAGGACAGTTGTTCTATCTGACTTGGGTGGTGGTACTTTATTTGAGCATCTTTTCAATTTTCTTCTTACTTATTACTCTAAATTTTTTGACAGCTCATTTTGCACGGATTATGATTCATCTTATTTTTTCTGGCTTCTATTTTTATCTTCAGCCATACTCCTGTATACAGAATCAAGTGTGTCCCTATGAGTTAATGTCTTTCTGGGCTATTTTATTTTATTTTTTATTAGGAAGCTTAATAACTGGGTTTTAGTGTAAGGAAAAGATCTAAAATAGCTATTCCCCTTCATGGAGCCTGCTTTGTGAAATTTATTGTGGTAGCATAGAAATCATTATTACTTTACTCTCGAGTTCTGGTTTCTCGCTGGCCTGGATAAAGTTTCATGCCAATATGAACCCAAAATGAGGGTTGGTACTAGGATAAATTACCTAGAAAAACATTATGCTTTCAGTGTGTTTCTTAAATTCATTAAGAACTTTATGAAGACCTGTATCCTGCACAGGGGCGAATCTAGAACTTGGAGTGAGCACGGGTGGGCGGCCGGTTATTGTTGGTCACAATAAAATATTTCAAATTTAATATAACAATTATTTGTGCTAAAAATGAATATATATTATTTCTGTGACAATTATGGTTTCAACCCAATAAGTGACATATTGGCCAAGAGTTGTATAATTCAAATGAGGGTCTAAGGTTTGAATCCTTTTAATTGCATCTAAACCTCTAAAGTCTAAACTTGAACATATATAATTTTGTTACATTTAGTGTCACAAGTCAATGAGTGCAATGATGGTCAAGGCCTCAACCAGCTTAAAGTGGGGTTAAGGGTTCGAATTCCTTCTCTTGCATTAGTTTTAGGAAAAATTTGTTGAATCAAGAAAATAGCACTATAAAATGCTTTGAAAAAAAATCGAACCCAAGACCTCACATTTGATAATGAAAGCCTCAACTAGCAACGCTATAGGAGATTTTGGGAAGAAGGTGAATTATTAGATATATAATATAAACCTTTCACCTATCATCAAAAAAAAAAAAAAAAGAAAAAGAGAGCTTCCGGGGGATCCAGCACGGGCGGCCGCTAGGGCTCGCCAGGTGCTGGATCCGCCACTGATCCTACGCAATGATGTTAATATCCCCTGGTTCTCGTGCTTTAATGTTCTATATACTGTTTTTCCTGCTTGATTAGTGTATAACATTGATTTTCAAATTTTCTTAAATGGTTTTCATGCTTCTGTGGTCTATTATGTTCAGTGTATAGCCTCTTCCTGAGCAGCGAAGCGAGTTATGCAATGTTCCATTTTTATACTTCAATAACGTTATTAAAAGGGAGAATTCTTCCTACACCACCTTTTAGCGAACTGAAACTATGAACAGTCTTATATTGTCGGAAAGTATTCCAACTCTATCTATTCCTAATAAAATGACTCTTTGTATTTGATTATGTTGGAGAACTAGGTGAAGATCTGGGGGAGTGTGTTATATTCTAATTTGAAAAGTCATACTTTAGAGCTGTAGATATTAAATATTGCAACAGATAGAATCTGCTCATGTCAAATGTGTTTTTTCACATTTCAGTTCTTGATCAGAGCTGCCTCTCATACTTGTGTTTATGTATGATTCATTTTCATTTTTACTGATCTCGATTGATGATGATGATAATCCTGTCTTCAACAATTGCAGAACAGAAGAAACAAAAAGTCTCTGAAATAAGAGACGGATTGGAGGATGCTGTAGCACTGGTAAATTATTAATGAGCATGTGCAAGTTTTCTGTATGTATATGCAACTCTGGACTAACAAACTACTTTGGCTAAATCTACTAGATTCATAAAATGGACCTTGAGGCTAGGAGCTTGCCACCCAGTGTGAAGGGTGCACTTCTTGTCAAGTTGAGAGAATATAAAACCGATCTGAACAATTTGAAAACTGAAGTGAAGAGAATCACATCTTCTAATGCCAATCAAGCTGCAAGGGATGAATTGTTGGAATCAGGAATGGCTGATACGATGATGGTGCTCACGCCTTCCGTTCTTTCATTCTAAAGTGACTAGTGGATTAAATGATTTTATTTTACTGTTTTGATGAGTTGGCTAAAATTACTGCCGTTAAATATCTTGATGTGTTTTTTCCCTGGTTTCATGCATCTCCCTTTTATTCTCTTTGGAAAGATGTTTTGATATATTTCACTTTTGTCAAACAAGTGCTACATATTCAGTAGAGTTGCTTAATACATCTGTACCTGTATGTATAGGCTATTGAAAGTGGGCTTACTACTCCAGTATATGATCAAAGGATGTACCTAGATGTCTAGAACTTCTTCCTCTGCTCTTTTTTCTGATTTCTCTTTTGTGTCCCTTGTTTAATTTTCCAGAAATTTAATGCTGCCAGACTTCAGAATATATCCTTTGACCCTTATCATATATGCCTACTATGGTTCCTTGGACTTAAAACTGCATACAAGGCTCCAAAAGATCCTTACACTTCTATGACATGTATGTAAAGGTAATCATATCCTGAAATTGCCACAAGTGAAGTGTTTAAAGCTTCAAAGGCAGTCCATTTTACAAAACATCAAATCAGGCAATTTCCCTATGACTGTTTTCGATTTCCATTGTATTANCCTACTATGGTTCCTTGGACTTAAAACTGCATACAAGGCTCCAAAAGATCCTTATAATAATGTTCTCAGTTCTGTTCACAGCACCCAGTGAATCCTATACATTTGTATTTTTTTATTTTTTGCTTACAGCCTGCAATCCTTGTCCACATCCACTGTCCATCTTGAATATTCCCTCTCTATGACATTAAAATTCCAAGATAGGTATACAAATTGTTTCTGCTGCATTGACTAGAACTGAGGACTTACTGCTAAATTTTCTCTCTCGGTTATTTGAAGACAAACAGACGTCCTTCAGATTACTGATGCTTAAATATCAAGGATCATCTGGCTAGAAAGCGATAGTACAAGTAATGAAATTTTTTTTCTGATGTTGATGTTATACTTTTTTGGCACCATAATATTGCTTCTGGTTATAGTTTTAGCTTCAGCTATTAGCAATATACAAATGAATTTTTTTTTATTTTTCCTTTTAAGTAGCCTTGGTGGTTGGCAAACTCTGTCCAAGATAATTTTCTTGCCAATTATTACTTTTTTTCTCTTAAAGGATCTGATTGTGATTTTGGGTTCTTGCTTTTCTTTGTTTTTCCAAACTATGGATCTGTCACTTTGTTAGATGCTGAAAGTTGACATAATATAATGAACGAGAAAGTTCTGCTCTTCAGATGTACTTACCTAGTTACCTATATACTGGTGCTATTATACAGGCATCTGCTGATCAAAGAGGAAGGTTACTCATGTCTACTGAGAGGTTAAATCAATCTAGTGACAGGATCAGGGAAAGTCGAAGAACAATGCTGGAAACAGAAGAGCTTGGAGTTTCAATTCTTCAAGATTTGCACCAGCAACGTCAGTCTCTTCTACATGCACATGGCACAGTATGTCTTATTTTTCTCTCTTACATGTTTTTCCCGCCCCTAGGTTTTGTTTTTCTGAAACTTGTCCCATTAAATATCCTCTATTCGGTTACAAGTATCAGATGAACGTTTTCTGCTTAAGAAAATATAATCCAAAACTGAGGCTCTTTGTTAGTTGTAAAGATCGGATAATTTCCCTGTCTGCAGCTTCATGGAGTGGATGACAACATCAGTAGGAGCAAGAAAATTCTTACTAATATGTCAAGAAGGATGAGCAGGAACAAATGGATCATTGGTTCCATCATTGCAATCTTAATCGTAGCAATTATTTTGATTCTTTACTTCAAGCTCACCCATTAACTTGTTGGCCTGAATATTTGGGATTCCATGTGTTGCGTTTCTTGAGAAGATAAGTGTGAATGTTTTCATGTAATTTGGCATATGTACTTCTGCTCAAGTTCATGGCCTTTCTATCGGCTTCATTCTTTGCGTCCTTCAATTGTATTTTATTTTATTTTTTATTTTTTCTTTGTTGTGTACTGGTGGTAAAGTCACATTTCAGTTCTTGTTTTTGTGATAATCACGTTTCACTTTGCTTCTGTGGTTGATGATTCAACATTCTTTTCAATGGCTTTCTTTTTTAATGTTTTGACTAGTGTGACGATCGTATATATCATGATGCAATGTACATATTTTCTAACCGAATAGAATAAGTCCACTCTATCAACCTAGGATATGAGACCCAAGATGAACGCTATCTTTGCGATTGTTGTTGGTTAATTAGTTCTCTATGTAAACGATAGACCCAACTATGTGACAAAGGCATTTGGCCTGGTTTTAGGCCTGTATCAGCGGGGAAATAATGGCCAGATCCCTCCCTAGTGACATGAGGAGAACAGTGTGATTTTGCAGATCTTTTCATACACGCAGGCTGATGACCTCATAAGCTGACTCATTACTCTGTATGTGAATGAAAACGAGTAGCATCATCGGAATACTCATTTCTTGGAAGCATATGCACCCAAGCGATCTTTATATACCGAGGCGAGAAGCATTATCGTGAACGGAGGAAGCACCATGGTGGTTGCTTGATTTAACATAAGCAGAAAAGGCTGAATACTCTCCCATCTTTAGTTCACTCTTTTCCCCGACAACACTTCTAGGCATGTGTAACATAGGAGATGGGAGTAGGGGACCAAAAAAAAAAAAAAAAAAAAAAAAAAACA